ATTGTTGGGCGATGAAACGTCTGCCGATATAGAGAGAATGTTGTAGACAGAAATTGATCTCACTGGACGAATGGAAGAGCGGGTTTGCTAGTCTCTTGTGAGAGAAGACAGAAGTAGCTGTCAAGATAGATAGTTACTTTCAGACCGTGCCAGGTGAATATGTTGGAAGCAGGATTCATGTTTTCCTTTCCTGTCGTGACGCTATTTTAACTTTCCTGCTCATGTGAGCGTGCACCGGGCCTTTCACAGTTTTTATGCACGCCGACGCAAACTGCAATCGAAAGGCGATGCGATTTGTTCAGTCGGTGAAAGACAGAGAGTGGGCCCCGTCGTATACTAGCAGCAACCTCAGTATATTGCTCTTGTATAGTATTAAAACCCAGTCAGGAGTTTCGATCCTCACATAGAGAACCATATTTATGACTTCGTACAAAACCTAGAAAAGTGAGCTACATGAACGGAGCTAATGAACTGCATATTTATATAGGTTAATATATATCAAGGCGTTTAATGAATAGTGTCTGAAATTTGTTAGGGATAGATTAATATTAATAGATATGAATGTACGGGAGAGATTCATGGAAGATTGACGTTTAAATTCGACCTTGCTAACCGAGCGCTCCTTCGTGGCCAAATCGGTAATGGCACGTCAAGCTAAATGACGGTTCCGTATAGGATACAGGTTCAATTCCTGTCGGAGGACGAATATTTTCTGTGAAAATTTCTCGGATATTCAGGCCGGTAAATGTTGTTTAATACCGTTTATTATAAACAGAGCATTTACTTAAATATTTGCATCTATAAAAAGAATGTATAAACATAAAAATGTCTTAAAATAATTGTCGGACTTTGTCCATTTCATAATGTGTGACGTCATTTGTTTACATTTGATACACCATGAGCAGATATGAATGTACGTGAGAAATTCATGGAAGATTAAAGCTTAAATACAGTAAATTCGACCTTGCTAACCGAACGATCATTTGTGGCCAAATCGGTAAAGACACGTCAAGCTAAATGACAGTTCCGTATAGGATACAGGTTCGATTCTTGTCGGAGGAAGAATATTTTCTGTGAAAATTTCTCGGACATTTAGGCCGGTAAATGTTGTTTAATACTGTTTATTACAAACAGAGCAATACTTAAATATTTGTATGTATAAAAATGTCTTAAAAATAGATTAATATTATTATTAAATGATTAATATCTTTATTATTGTGAAATATCGAAATGACTGACTCTAAAAGTTTATTTGTACTTATAATTTTAAACGAGCGACTTTCCTCGTCGCAGTAGATTCTGCTGTGTTACTAACTTTCCCTTCGTACACTGAACGTATCTCCGGAGCATATAATATAAACCGGGTGTAACAGCAAAATTGTCCAAATCGTGTAACAGCATAATTGTCCATTCCAAAAAAGGATTAATATCTAAAAACCCACAAAACTAATTCAGTTTCTTTTTTCCAGGTTTTCAGATAAGACATTTAACCATTTTGACACCATTTATTGTATGAATCACTGAAACATCCTTTGAGTTATTCAGCTAGAAAGAAACAAGATAAAATCGTTTTGTGTCAGTCTTATTGTCTTCCCAACTAAGGAATGGTGAGAGGAAAAAGATCATTCAAGCCTCCAGTAATGGTATCAACATTCATACTCTGGAACCATCAAGAGAACGGTGAATAAGTTAAAAAAAAGAGGGAACGGTAGAGATAAAACTGAATCAGGAGTTCACTACAGGAAGAGGGATCATCATTTGAACTTAGAACTGAAGAGATCAATTAGAAAAGATCCAACTCAATCCATAAGTCGTTTGGCACATGAAAGAGTTTCAGCTATGACAGTCTAAAGAGCAGTGAAAAAAGACTTGAAAATGAAATCGTACGTGAAACGTTTGAGACACTTTGTTACACCAAGACAGAAAGTTAGAAGGTTAGAGAGGGCAAAGATAATCTAGAGTAAGTTGGAAAAGGATCCTGGAATAATATATATACTTGAACTTTATTTCAATTCTTCATGAACTTCCAACCCTTAGCTATGATTAATTAATGAACATATGATTTTCGTTTATGATCGATTTCATCAAGATTCTTCTTTTAAGCTTGGAGAGTAATTATACATTCTTATTGCTCAAAGTAGAGTCCAATAGCGGAATAAAAATCCAGGAGAATTCCAGTAGGATATCTTTAATCATTTCTAAGATACAACGGTTCAAAGCTTAATTTAACAATTGGATAATTTTGCTCTTAAACGATTTGGGCAATTTTGCAGTTACACCTGGTATAAATTTCGATATTTATTGCAGGAGAAGAACAACGTATTCTTGATGTTTCGAGACATCTTCTTAAATATTCTCCTCCGATGGCTACTTTCATATGGTTGCCACCCATGCCACCAAACCCGTTCAGAAATATCTAAACTCTCAGCCGTATGCATTGGCTTTTCTAAGATCAATGGGTGAACATGCCTTTGAGTGCGAGAAGCTTGTTGATATTGACGAAGACTATCTTTCTTCGAAGATTTCTAACTAGCGATATAGAACTGCTGAAATCACATCCCTTGAAGACTTTCAACAGCAGCAGCAGTAAAAATGGATATCACGTGTAAATCGAAGATAAAAAAATTACGTAATTAAGATGTTCACGTTCTACACTATTTTGAACAAAAAATTAGGAAGAAAAACCGCATCTGTACTGGAAAGAGGGGTAACAGTTACTGGACTGGTGAAACCTATTTTCCTGAAAAAATTGTTTTAAGAGAAAGATTTTAGGAATTTTATACTACATCAGTAGTATGAATGTTTGCTTATAAGGAAACTATTAATATTAACATGACCATTACAATATGATGCATTCTCTAAAGAAAGAAACTGTTGTAACAAAATTTTAACTTTGTATTTATTCAGTAAATCTTATTTCCTAATTTCGTCTGTCTAGAAATCAAAGGAAATGACTATTATTCCTTTAAAAAAAATAGACATCAATGTTTTGAAACTGACCAATTTTCCATTACCTTTCAGACAGATCCTCTGCTGAGTTGATGAAGGAGAATTTTCAAGAAGTTTCTAAAAGTTTCAAGAATTTTTAGAACGTTCTGGCTGCCAAAGATTGTGTAATGAAAACATGATGGGAAACTATATTTGGATAAGCGTGAATCGCGAAAAACTGATTCGTATAAGTGTAAATTGCAAAAACCTACTCACTTCTAAAATTTTTGTGATCTCTCTTGTGTAATCCTAGAATAAATAAATGCTACTTATAAATCGTATCATTTTGTTTCTATTTGTCCGCACTCACCAATTTTACTCGATGGTAAACTTCTGAAATATCATTATCTTTCTCACAAAAGCAAAGTTTGAAGAAAACATAAGCCACTTTTCATACTTTCTACGCATAAGCAAATAAGAAATAATAGTTGCTACCAAAGAACAAAGATTGTGTTACACAGTAATTAATTATAATCGTATTTTCCGATACGCTTGTAGAGAACTCAAGGTGATTATTTATGTGGATGCACATTTAAATTAATCTTGAAACACTGAACAGGATTTAGTAAAAAAATCAACATATAACAGCTTCAGTCACTTTCCTACTGCTGTAATGTAATTTCCCTGTGCCTTTTTTATAAATATTTTCATGGTAATTGTTCTGATGAGCTTTCCTCTATGATAACTAGATTATATGAATTTAAGCGTAACACTAGATTGGCGGAACGGTTTCATTATTTTACGGTTCAAATGGCTAGATGTAGCCGTAAGTTCTATGCTAATAATTTATTCTCTCGAAATTCTAGGTTGTGGAACTTTTTTCTGGCTACTTACTTTCCAGTCAACTTTCATCTTCAAAAATGTAAATGCAATGTCAATAGATATCTTCTGTCTTTTTTTATACTTTTATTGTTCTCTCTCCGTATTCGTATTTTTTCTCATATTATCTAACATTAAGTAACCTCTTTTTTCTTAGTGACTTTATTACCATTTTTCGTGTGAAATGATTAAAAAAAAAACAAAACAAACAATCTAAGTAAAGAAAGAAAGAAATGTCTTTAACACTTTCTTTACTCTCTGTAACCCCTTGCTTGCTTAGGGTGATTTGCTTAAAAAAAAAAGAATCATATGTTGTTTATCTTCCTGTTTTTCGTGAAAGAAAATGTTCACATTCGCCAGTTTTCCCACTGGGAATAGGTAAATTTCAGAAATATCATTATCCTGGTTACAAAAGCAAAGTTTGAAGGAAATATTAGCCATTTTTCAGACTTTCTATCTGTGAGCAAATAAGAAGGAACAGGTGCTACCCAAGGACAAAAATCGTGTTACACAGTGTAATTAGAAATATTTAGAAGAGATCACTTTCGATTCAAGGGTGGCGAAACTTGCTTAATGTGAAGGTTACATACGATAAAGTTCTGATGTTTGCGAGCCTCAAGACATGAAAAAAAAATTACACTTACGTTTTTGCTACATATACACTAAGATTAAACTTACATATTAATCCAATGGGATCTCTACTCATACCCGGTAAATAATTATAAAACTTTTTTACTTTTTATATTCACTGTGAGCCGCATATTAAAGGTCAAAGAGCCTCATGTGGCTCGCGAGCCGCGGTTTGCCCCCCCCTGTTTACAAAATGAGCCACTTATTCATTATCCAATTAAGTTTAACTATGGCATGCTTTTTTCAGAAGTAGATTGAAATAGTAGTGTTATGCATGTAGTGGTAACCGAAAAAAATTATTCGAGGCGTTGAACTATCCGTAGTAATCTTCATCAAGTTGAAAAAGAACACAAATTTATAAAAAATAAAAATAAAAATGAGTTCTTCATAATTTGACAGAACCCAATAGTAACGCAAGGAGTGGCCATCCATACTTTCTGCACTCTCATGAATGTATCAAACCGTTATTTTGTGATTTCAGTAACTGGTGATGAAAAGTGCATTGTTTACAACAATACAAAACGATACAGTGAATGGCTTACTGAAGATGAACAAGTAGTCACATGTATTTCTATTTCCATGGGAAATATTTTCATGCCATGTACCTAAGCGCAAACCATTCTTATTTTTTTCATATTCGATTAGTAAGAAGGAAGGGGCACATTGAAGTTGTGTAATGGTTAGCAAACTTGTCTCGCTAGAATAATTTCAACTGAGTACTGAGTTCGATCCTCGCTGGGTGCCCCATACTTTCGACCTTGTGCCACATCTAAACCATGCTTAGAAAATTACCATTAGTAAGAAGAATGTTCAATTCAAAGAGCTTCTTCCCAATAGTGGCAGTTTTGGGAAGTAGCCTGCAGAGAGATTGCAGCTTCCCCAAGCACTGAAATATTAACCTCTTTAATTCTATGTATCCTCCTAATCAATTCTTACATCGCCGAGCACAACCATATTTAGTAACACTCTACCTTGAGTGGCTTTTGGGATTCGTAGAGGGTGAACAATAGCATAAAAAATAACACGAAATAGTTTTCAACTCAATAGAATTGTTATGTGGGATTGCAGTTATTTTGGCCAAGCTTGAGTTTCTAAATTCTTAATGTTTCAAGCGTCGATTCTGTGATTGTAGGGTTTGGCATTTATGAATAGGGACAAAAGCCCAGTGGATTAAAAAGTTTATCTTAGAAATTGGTGGTGAAGTAATTCTGAGTTCAATCCCTGGGAAGTGTGTACTTGGAATCGAGCAATAACTAAGGAGTACTAAATAAGAATTAAGTCGCGGTATCCGTAGACATATTCAACAGAACGAGAACGCAGATTAAATAAAGGGTTCAGTTCGAAATTCCTTGTAGATTATCCGGATCAATTCACACCTCATAAAGGTCGCAGGGTACAACAGTCGAAACCTTCTGATAAAAACAACAAGAATAGCGATGAGGAAAATTGTCCGTTTGTAAATAAGTTAAGTAATAATAACTCCACATTTCTAAAATTCAATCAGAAATAAAATGTTACAGCAATCATTTTGCAGTTGAAATGGCTAGGTGCAACCGTAAATTCTATGCTAACAATTTCATATCTCGTGCTTCTTGCTTGTTGAACTCTCTTTCGGGTTCTTGCTTTCCAGTCAACTTTGACATTAAAGAAATAAAATACAATGTCAATCATTATTTTCTGTCTTCTTAATTCCTAGTTTTTTCATTGTTCTCGTTTCTTAATAATTTTTTTTTAATATTCTCTCACACTCAGTAACTCCTTGCGTCTCAGTGGCTTTATTGGCGAAATGATAAAAAAGTGGCTTTTGGGATGCGGGCAACCATAATGTTTTATTTTTTCATTATTCCATAATCAATCTTTCCATCGAGAGTTTGAAATATGTCGAATGATAAATGATTGGATTGATTATCATATATTTGCACGCAAATATTCCTGTCCATTGAATGTTTCCTTATAAGGAAACAGTTAATATTCCTTACCTTTATCATTCATCTAGAGTGACAGATTTTAAATGATGTATCAGTGATTACTCAGCTCTAAATAGCAATAACTGAGTTGAAGATATAAATAATTTTAAACATCCATGTTTTTTATTTCAGTAATTTTCGCAACCGTCATTGCCTCCTGGAGTGCAGTGGTCGGGTGGTGAGTCCATGTTAAATGTGGTTGCGTGAGTCAAAAGTTTAGCTTTACTTATAACTGATCAAGCATTATCGGCAGAAGCATTTACGAGTGTAATTAATCTACTTATGTATCTTAATCCTGAGCTTATCTATTTATCAATCAGAAGAAACTGGAATAATTCGATTTTGGCATCGGGCTACAAAATAGCATGGACCTGATTGAGGAAAAACTCTCTAATGTTATAAAGATATCTTAGTAGCGTCATGGAGTTTTTCTTAGATATTTCAAGTTTAATTATTTACCCGCTGCACCACGCAGCAACATGTGGCACAAGGCCGAGTTTAAAGTGTGATATCCAAGCCCGTAGGCTCGGGCAAATAATTCCCTATAGACCACGTAAAAACGGAGTCAGTTTCCCGAGACGAGACTCCGCCCCTCGGCAGAGCCTCGGCTGGGGAATATCCTCTGACATAAGCCAGATAAGTATATTTCAAGTTTAAGGCTCATATATTTGAATAATTGTCTGCGATAAAATTATAACTTTATTTTATTGAACCCTAAGTTAAGCCGCTCTGGTTGTTACTGGTAACATGTAACACAATACAACCTGCTGCATGCTAGGCTCATCGGAAACTAAACCGGATCCTCTACCAAGCTTTTCTGTGGCCAGACACCCAGCAAGATTAAAAACCTGTCAAAGAGTAGATGAACTTTCTTTTAGGATAGGATCAATGACTATCCTGAACAACAGGGTTGATTGGGCTCCATAGCTATGTATGCAGCCAGTGAAGTGATGGCGCGACATCTTTATTTTGAGGCCTTCCTAGACTAGAGTTAACTACTAGGGTCGCTGGTTACCCAATGGAACTGATGATCACGTTTTCGTGAACAAGGCAAGTTTTCAAGTTGGAAGATATCAGCTCTGGAGAGACGTGGGCTCCGCCAGGTTTACTACGTATGAAAGAATACCTGTCCAACTTTAAATTCAGGTATGTGGGGAGTAGTGGTCATGAGACTGTGTATTTATTCTACTTCAAATACAATTTCAATACAAGGCCGAAGCGGAAGTGGGATGAAGCTGGTCCGATGTAAAGATTTCTGGAAATTTATAATTATTATTTTTTGTATTATTTTTCTTATATTTTACAAGAATATATAAAATTATGAATCCTGAAATGAGGGGAATTGGGATGATACTAATAACGAAAATAAAAAATAACAATATATTTTAACGAAAACAAAATATGTTAGTAGGACCCGTCCACTCCATAATAAAATAAGAGTGGTCGCACGAAAGGTGAGAGAAGAACAAAACAAATTGTGGAATGAGAAAATCATAAGCTGGCCCAGTCACGATAAAATGGGAGATAAAAACAAAATGGGGAACTTGGGATCATAACAAAAGAGAACAGCCCGGAACAGTAATTACTCACATTATCTAGGAGAACGAAAAGAGTCTAGATCAGACGTTCTCAACCAGGGGCAAATTTACCCCTAGGGGGTAAAACATTATATAGTCGGGGGTAAATAATTGAAGTACCTGATAATTTAAAAAATAATTCAATTAAATGTAATTTTGTAAAACGAGAGAGAGAGAGAGAGAGAGAGAGAGAGAGAGAGAGAGAGAGTGCAAAGAAAGAGTGTGTGTGGAGGGGCAGAGAGGGGGGAAAGGAGATTGTCTGTCAATCTTGTTCAGTCCTGTTTGGGCATGCTCACTGTTCACCCACCAGTAACACCACTGTTCCGAATTTCAGTTGATCTCAGGCACAGTATTTTGACTAAAAAAACCCTTAGTATTTTGAATGAAAAAAATCATTCATTCATTTAGTCACGAAATTGTGCATCAATGCTTTATGATGGCTATGAATTTTTTTGTATGGGAGTAGGGGGTAAATGGAGAAATACATAAAGCCGAGGGGGTCAATGATGGAGGAAAGATTGAGAATGGCTGGTCTAGATTAACCAAGGGAGAGGTCCGTCAAGAAACCGTCCAGTTGTGTCGAAACGAGATTAAAAAAGGAAATCAAAGCTGGCCCCGTTCACGCGAACCAGGCTCGCGACTTTCACCCGCCTTTCGCTGAAATAGCCCGGTCATGAGACTGATGATGATGATGATAGTTGAATATATATCAGACGTTATTTCATCATGAATTTTTATCATGAGTAAAGTTCACAGTTAAATGATATAGTATTTGCATACATGGGTCGGAAATAGCTTGAGAAATTATGCAAGGAAATTTTGTGCTCAAGAACAAAGAACGTTTTGAAATGCCCCAAAGCAACACACGGACTGGCAGAAAAGGCAGAAATTAATCATCAAGAGTTTCAATGAAATAATAGAAGATAAAATATCATTTTTAGAGTCAAGTAAATTGGCTGCATGACAATACTCGTTCTTAATTTGCAAATGCAACGCAGTAAACAATCGCAAATTTGGGATGGGAAGCTCACTGTGCAAGCAGCCTTTTTTATAGACCTGTCACGCTTAAGTATCAATTTCCTGTCTGGTTAGAGGTTGTAACAAATTAAAGATAACAGAGAATTCACCAAACACATTGTAGAAACAAAATAGATTCATTGTTCCTTGATGGAACACATAATTCAGCTGAAAAATGGTGTAAGATTTAAAAAAAATATATATAGCGTAACAACTTCGACAAACGATTCTTGGAATACAATATAATAAAAGAGTCCGTCAAAAAATTCAGCAAACTAATGCATCATCCTTATATATTGAACAATAAAAATATTAAAATCTTCAGACACACTGGGTGGCGTATTAATATTCTTTCATTTTTATTATTTCAGTTAGATTCGTCGACTAGTTTCGCCCGACATCGCCATCATCAGGAGAAAAAGATTCTACTAGTTAGTAGCAGTGAACTACCGAAATGAATAACTTGATGGGAATATATATATATATATATATATATATATATATATATATATATATATATATATATATATATATATATATATATATATATATATAAGTGAACATTGAAGTCAATACTTAGAGGCGACAAGCTGTTTCATGCTAGACGCAATCGTCAGGCATGAAACAGTCTGTCAGCTCTAAGTGTTGACTTCAATGTTCACTTTTATATCTACACACGCTCTATCTCTGATATTGAGCACTTTATCCCATAAATATAGCACACCTCAAGAGTATATTTCTTCATATATATATATATATATATATATATATATATATGCATCGCTGTGGATACAAACATATAAAGATCTACATATTCAGTATAAAAAAAATCCTTGAGGATGGTTAATATAATAGACGATAGACGAAAGAGCTCGGATAAAGTACTGTTTAGTACAAAATCTCACCCGAAAATGAAAATACTTGACAGTGACAGATCTTAGCGATTATAGTTAACAAAATTTGCGTTGTGTGAGTGCTAACATAATCTATTACGCAGTATATCTACACGTATACAGTATGTGATGGTTAAATTGTCGCCAATTTATATTTTAATTTTGCGCATGCGTGTTGTTTTTTTATTTTGTCGACTGCATAATAGCGTCAGTTGGGCACAGTCCGTGAGAAAAAGAGCACCATGACGCAATTCACCCCGCTAGAAATTTGGAAACGGCACACTCTATTGCTTGGCATTCGCACCGCAAGCTACACTACGAACATTTCAGAGTGCTTGTGTTTCAATCTTAGAACAGTGCAAAAGATTCGGAAAGATCTAATGATTCTAATGATCACTAGTGATGGCGACGTTATGCCTCCATTCATCTTCAAACATGGCGTCAGACTCCAAACTGAGGTCTTAGATCAAGTCCCTTGAGAGGGTAGTTTTGTCCTGGCTCAAGAGGGTGGTTGCTGGAAGATCCAATTTCCGGCAGCAGGACTCTGCACCATACCGTACAGGGAAGAGAACCCAGTCATGGCTGTCAGACAATTTCTGCAATCACGTCACCCTTTGCATCTGGCCACGTAATTGCTCAACTGCAAACCTCAATGATTATTATGTGTGGCGCGCAGTTGAGCGAGATACCCCCCAAAAAAAAAAAAAAAATACTTGTAACACCAAAGATAAACTAATGGCAAGGATTATGGCAGCATTCACCAACTTAAACAAGGAAACCGTCCAGAAGAGTTGCAGGAGATTCCAAAGTCGTTTGGAGGCCATAGTCGAAGACAATGGCGATTTTATTGAATAAATTGACTCATTAGTTTTTCAAGATATTTTTGTGTAATTTTGATAAATATATCTGTTAAAATCAGATGTTTCATTTTTATTTCATTTAGACAACAATTTATCCATCGCACCGTGTATATGTATGCGCTAGTGTAATCTATCTATCTATCTATCTATCTATCTATCTATCTATACAAGTATATATGTTTCTTGTTAGTATTAAACTACACACACACACACATATATGTATATTTATATATATAAATACAAAAAACTGATGGACTTTAATCGAATCAAATGTAAGGATTTTATTGTCCAAGAATGTAAGTAAAGATTTTATTTTTCAATTGCGTTTTTACAAACATATTTTTAGTTGTAGATGATTTTTACTCACACACACACAGATATAGACACACACACATATATACATATATCTATATATGTATATATATATATATACATACAAAAAACTGATGGACTTTAATCGAATCAAACGTAGGGATTTTATTGTCCAAGAATGTAAGTAAAGATTCTATTTTTCATTTGCGTTTTTACAAACATATTTTTAGTTGTAGATGATTTTTACTCTCTCTCTCTCTCTCTCTCTCTCTCTCTCTCTCTCTCACACACACACACACACACACACACACATATATATATATATATATATATATATATATATATATAGCTTTGGGTAGTATAGAAATACAATAGTGGAACATTTAGCAAGGAACGGTCAATGGGAAGACAATGGGAATAAAGAGAAACTCATAAGGAAGAGGAGTCGAAGAGAAAATGGCAGACGCAACAATGACACTACGAACTAATGCTACTAATGTTACTACTACTGCTACTAGTGTTTCGGATAATAATGTTAACGATGAATGGAAAGGGAATGAACAAAAGGGAAGAAATACTCTCTGCAAAAAAAAAAAAAAAAAAAGATGCGGAAAGAATGAAAGGAGCGGCGAAAGATGACAAAAGATGAAGAATAAAGACCAAGGAAAAAATAGATTATCTAATAATAAGTCTGATAATAATCATTTTAGAATCAGGGTTTGGCAACTCTTTTACGCAACCTTCTGCAAAACGCCAGAACAACAGTAATGCATTTAACTCGATCTGTCCATAAAGTGCCATATATGTTTGTCCATTTATAAAGAAGAACTTCAGAATGATAGTCTTCAGCAAATAAAGCAGGTATGTTCGCATTGATGCCTCGATGAGATCTGCTTTTAGATTAAAAGCAAAATGCACACTACGTAATAGAACCATTCATTGACAATGTCACAGGCATGTCAATAAATAATGATCTATATATCTATCTATCTATCTATCTATCTCATGTCAGATTTTATTATGCTAGTCCACATGTTCGAAATACAATTTTTTTTTATATTTTTCTCTCTATTCATATCAATCTCTCTGTTTCTCTCAATTTATTCATATCTATCTATCTATCTGATCATATCTGATTATATCTATCTCACGTTAGATTTTATTATGCTACTCAGCATGATCGCAATAAAATTTCTTTTTTCATAGTTCTCTCTCTTTCTATTTATATCAATCTCTCTGTTTCTCTTAATTTATTCATATCTATCTATCTATCTATCTCAGTCTGTTTTGATGTTCTGTAATACAGATACACGCGAGAGAGCACATAATCTGCCATGACCAGTAATTTGAATGTCGTCTATTCTGAATCTGTTCTGGTCTATGAGGTACATCAGTAGGTTTCTATCTATCTATCTATCTATCTATCTATCTATCTTACGATCACATCGGTTAAGCAACGTTTAACCTGGTAAGTAACTAGAAGGGTGACATTTTGAGAATATCAGTTGTTGTAAAGTTGGATGTGCATAATAGCTGGGAATTATTAATTGTACAGCTGAGTTACAATTTTCTATTTCATTCAAAAGACACCCCGTCAAAAGGTTTTCTGAAATTGATTAAATAGTAGTTGTTTTTATATTATACTTATCTATATTTTACAAAACTAACTTTTCTAACGCGCCTTGATTGTACGAAATGTGTTACTCTTTTACAGATGAATTAGTGGTCGTATCAGTCTATGCAACACTTAAAACGATTACTTTGCTACTTATGTAAATGCAAAAGAATCTGAGTTGGCGATAATAGAAGTAATAGATGTCTATAAAAAGGCGCTGTTGATTATTTACAACTAATTTCGGTAAAAGATCCGCTGATATTTGTTTGCGTCACGTGATAACAATTTTAAGTAAAATAATGGATTAAAATAAATAACCAAGTAATCGTTTTAAGTTCTATCATTACTATTTGAAATAACAAACTCTTTATGAATATGTTTAATAACAGAATTTGATGTTTTCGCTAGAAAATATTCCACTTTAGTTTTACGTAAAAATTTGCTTCAAGAAATTATAGCTTTCGATATATATGTTTCAAACTGAATATGTGTAGGTAGCAACCCTTTGTTTAAACATGTTTGATGAAATAGAAAAGATCTCAAATTTAACAGGAGTAGAAAGTCAGGAAAAGAATGAACTAACATTCCATGTCTATTCTACTTCATAAAACATGTTTAAACTAATGTGGAACATTATACGTAGCATCACAAAGAGACAGTTGAAATATAAAAAAATATAAAGAGGAAAGAGGGCTTGGAGAATTTTACATTAACATAACATATTGAAGAGGGACAGACGAAAGCAGCGAATAACGTACATGATGAGGAATTAGGAGAGTTATCAAAAAGACAAAATTTACTAAGAACTACAAAGGAGAGGGTATTGTGGTTAGCCTTTGTCACACATATCATGGAGGGACACACCACTTAGAAGAAGAAGTAAATGGTTGGTAGAGCAGGGATTAGGCGAGATAGCAATGAGACAAAGCTTACTAAAAGCTACAAAGGACAGGAAGTCGTATGTTTGCCATGATAGCCCACGTCTTGAAGGGAAACGGGATATAGAAGGATAACTTATTGGTAGATAATGTCTGATGTTTGTCGAAAAGAAAAATACTGGTACAAAATATATTTTAAAGAAAAATGATTCGAAAAATGTGTAGGGTAACTTGAACAATGCCCAGAAAAAAGATTGCAATTTGTAGCATCCTCTGTGATAGAAAATAGTATTCATGTTCTGTGAAATTGGTAGTTAAACTTATGGATGCGTTAAAGAGGAAGAGACTCGATTTTGTGACAAAAATTCTTTGACAAAAAAAAAAAAATAAAAAAAAAAAATAAAATCAATTAAGTGTTTTAATAAGAATATTGTGAATAAATAATAATAAAAAAACGATGAAAGAATTAAGTCGATAGTTCTTATAAATGGAGGGAGGAAGAGAAAAAGATACAGCACTCTAAATACAAAATACCAAACATATGACAACAATTTGATAACACAGACGATAATTTCTTTTGCCTTTAGCGCAGTCCGTGATTTTCCGACGAATCGTTCCAACAAACAAAACGTGGTGAAAAAGGCAAAAACTGCCAACAGTCAATTTTACATTCCTTCAAATGAAAAGTCACAAAGTTTTTTTTTGTTTTTAAAGATTTTTGGCGGCCTTAGTGGAAACAAATAATCTGTAATTTTTCTATATAATTTTTTACTTTATAATCGAATTTTCTTAGTAGCACATAAATGTATTAAATCCCTAATTAGCTGGAGTTTAGTTTAAAGTGATTTTCAGCATACATGCTTACAATTACAGGCTCTTTAGTATAAAGAGCCTGTAATTCTAATTGTCTCAAGGTCCTTGATAAAATTCAAAGACAGATATGCAATATAATTGGCCCTGATCTGGCATCTCGTCTGCAGCCGCTCTTTCACAGGCGTGGCGTTGCCTCACCCTCTCTTTTTTTACAAATACTTTCACGGTAAATGCTCCGATGAGTTGCTTTCACTGGTTCCCAGACTTCATGAATTTAAGCGTTCAACTAGGCTGGCATCTCGCTCTCACCCTTTCACTGTCGAAACTGTTAAATATACCCGTCTCTTCTACTCCAATATAACGCCCAAGTAACGTTCATGCTATACGGTTATTGTATGGTGTTATATGAACGTAACAGACGCGGATAGAAATGCAGCTTAAAAGGTTTTGCAGGAAAGCTAACAGTTAATCCTAGATTTGAAGAGGTTAAGAGTGTATTCACCGAGAAAACATTTTGTTGGGAGTCTGTTCCCTAAAGCGGCAAAGAAGAAGCTGTTCAAGTGAAGCTTGCTTCTTACTAAAGGAATACGAAGGGAATAAAGATGGTTCCTCCTAGTGTCCGTATCAGGGAGGGTTGTTAGAATTTTTGGGTACCTTAGTACTAGTGAGCCAGGCAAAATGAGCTGACTCATTTTATAGTTCACCAATAGAAGTGTTAAACAATCAGAAGGCTCAAAATATTCAATGCGACCTGTATAAAGGCAGCCATGTTTTTTTTTCCTGAATATTCTCTGACAGTCTGCCTTTGATATCGAAGACTGAAGAATTACAGAACAGTTGCTGGTGGTATTAGCGATATAGTCAGATTCAGTAGAGTGTCTGACTCGTGAGTGTTAATCTTTAACGTTGTTTCATTGAACAGATTACGTACTGCGCTGTATTCTATATTCATAGACTATGGTGAACATGGTTAACAATGGTCCCAGTTGCAAAGGTCAGGGGCGGTGCAACCAAGGAATGAAGCTTGTCAAAACACTTGCCATGGTAATAGCAAGTAGAGTAGCGTATAGCTTGCAGAATTTCGTCTGAAGGAAAGCGGTTTTAGGGTGGAAATATCTAATCACCTAGAAGGCCACATGGACAGTTTTTAACTCCAGACAGGCAAATGAGGACTGGGCAGCTTCAGTCCAGTTATAGCAGTAATACTCTTTTATTGGTCTGATCTGGCTCTTTGGTGACACAAGGGGAGTCAGGGAACATACCTTTTTTCCAGAATCATTAGCAATAGTTCTTATATATGAGTTTCAGTGAGTTCTGGGTTTAGTTTGAGTCTGAGAAGTTCATGGTAAAGTGACTCTTCTAGAGAATACCCATCCATCATGATAGGTGAAAGTTCAGGGTTTACACAGTGAGAGAAAGTTTTGGACATATTGAATTTTAGAAGTCTGTGCTTCCCCCATTGAGTCACTAGGTCAGAGGTGAGATCAGCTACCAAGTTCTGGTCATCCAGATTCTTGATTGTGCACAGTATACATTTTTGTATCATCTGCGCAGATATTCACTAAATATCGGAGAATTTTCTTAGGTAGATCATTAATAAAAACAGAAAGAGTGTGTAGTCGAGAAGGGAACCCCGAGGAACGGCAAAATTGATTTCATGGCCATCCCATGACTGGCCTTTAATAACTTCATGGACCTGCATGTTAGAAAAGGCTCGCTGACTAGGAAAGCCCTTTAGCAGAAGAAGGTATGTAATAACCCACGATGCCACAACGGTATTGATATATCTAAGACGATTGACCTTGTGATTTATTGTCTCATGTCTCGTTGATTCTCATCAGTCGTGGATGTAACAGGGCGAAACTCACGCTAGTTATTACTGAGGAGGTTTTCTTGATGTTCTTTTTGATTACAGATTCGAAGGGTTTACCGATGACACTAAGCAGCCGAATTGGTCGATATTGCGACAGGGATGGGCGCTAACTCGTATTCTTAAAAACAGGGAACATAGTTGAGGTCCATTAATTTCGTTTTTTTAAAAAAATATTTTCATTCTTTTCAAAAAAAAAAAAGCTGCCACTCACAGACTTCTTTATTGGCTGTGTCCTCTCAGAACGTAGACGATCATGGCTCTCCACAATTTCCTGTCCTTTGTAGCTCTTAATAAATTTTGTCTTTATTTCTCTTAAACCTTTTTCCGTCATCTATTTACTTAAGCTCTTAACCCCTGGTCCTAAATATCTCCTGTGTGTATCAGATATTCCAAGCCCTCCATCCTCCTTCTGTGCTCCGAAGTAATCCGGATAGTGACTTGTGAGTATCAAATTTTCTAAGGCTTCTTTATTATTCGTTCTAGAAATAGCAACCTTCTCTTTCTGGTTCTACGTATAAGTGTCCTCCCTGTTTACATTCCTCTTAAAACTTACGGCCATAACTGAAATTTTTTACCAAGCACTTCATAATAACAGAGGAGTTCATTCCGTGGCTCTTGATATCTCCAAAGCGTTTGATAGGGTTTGACATGCCGGCCTTCTTCGCAAGCTTCAGGGCTATGGAATTACAGGTCGATTGTTCGAATCATTCCTATCGAACCGTACATTGTAAGGTTGTTTTCAACTGATTCTTCTACAGCTCCTATCCCACGAACGCAGGTGTTCCCCAAGGCTCTATCCTAGGCCCTACTCTGTTAATTATCTTCATTAATGTTGAAACTTGACTAATGCATGGAATAATAATACAACACAAAATGTACTTAGAACAAAATGTATTGAAACAAGAAAGTGTACACAATATTTACATATAGTCTTTTGTATATTCCTGGGAAGATCCTTCCTGGAGAATGTGTTGACTGAGTCGCAGTCGGGCAGAGTCTCTGGTTGAATCTCTTGATTCCTCCCTCTCTTCCCGGTACCAACCATATTTATATGGTCGGTACTCCACTATGCAAATTAGGTGGATCCTACCACAACAATTAACGATCTTGCAGGCGTCATAGGTTCCCAAGTAAGTATCTACTCGGACGACACTACTATTTATTCCTGCTTCAAAAAAAAAAAAAAAAAAATCTAGTGTCGCCGACAAAACTAACCTGGCTGAAAAGGACCTCCAATCGGTTGTGGACTGGGGCAGTAATTGGCTGGTTTAACTTTAACGCCTCAAAAACAAGACTCTCTATTACTCACCAGAGAGAACCATCCCTGCTTCCCATTAGAATGTCTGACGCTCAACTCCACGAGAGCACCTCTTTGCGACTGCTCGGTCTCACATTGTCCGCTGACCTGAGATGGAACGAATACATTGAGTCAATAGCTTCGTCCACCGCTAGGAAAGTTGGCTCGCTGTGCCGCGCCAGGAAATTTTTCTCGCCGGAGTCGATCCTTCAAATCTACAAATCAATCATTCACCCTTGCATGGAGTATTGATGCCATATATGGTCTGCAGTCCCTTCTAATTGTCTCAAGGTCCTTGATAAAATCCAAAGACAGATATGCAATGTAAGTGTCCCTGATCTGGCATCTTGTCTGCAGACGTGGCGTTGCCTCACCGTCTCTTTTTTTTTACAAATACTTTCATGGTAACTGCTCCGATGAGCTGCTTTCACTGGTTCCCAGACTTCATGAATTTAAGCGTTCAACTAGGCTGGCATCTCGCTCTCACCCTTTCACTGTCGAAACTGTTAAATATACCCGTCTCTTCTACTCCAACAGCTTCTTGTCTCGCACTTCTCGCCTGTGGATCTCCCACCCCATTTCTTGTTTACCTGATAGTTATAATCTCCAACTATTCAAATGTAATGTCAATCGACGTCTCCCGATGCCCTGATCTATCCTCTAACCTTCTCTTCATCCTTTCCTCTAGCACTCCTATTTGTTCTCGATCCAACTCTGTAACCCCTTGCGTAACCTTGCTTGCTTAAAAAACAAAAACAAAACAAACTTCCTCGTCACTCACATTCTCCGCCCATGTTATTCTTAGTATCCTTCAGTAAAAAAATACACCTCCGTTGCCTCTAGTATCCTCTTCATCACTGCCATGTAAGAGGACCAATATTACATAACACTTAAGCTCTCTCTTCTTTGTTTCGAATGAAATTTTCCTTTTTCTTAATGCTTTGTTTAACTTTTGGAAAGTATGTTTTACTGTTTCAACGAGTCTTCGGATTTCGGTGTCACATTCTCCGACATCTGTTAAAACACTTCACAGATATTTAAATTGTCATACTTGCTGAATTTTGACATCGCATCTTGCACTTTTTCTCTTGCTGACAACCACTGATTTTGACGCCTTAGAATTGATTTTTATCCTTTGTCATGGCTTTCCTTTAATTACTGTTTCTCTTACGGCTACATCACGTTGAAACACCGGTTCCTGTACGATCAACGAAGTTAAGCAACGTCAAGCCTGGTCAGTACCTAGATGGGTGACCGCTTAGGAATAACAAATGGTGTAATGGACAGTTCCAATTCCAGTTGGGTTCGTTATATTCACTTACGCGCTAATATACATGCAACAGGTATAAATCCACCTTTTGCTGCGGTCTTTCTCTTTAATAAAATTTCTTTAATATTCAGGCCAATAGACGAAAATAAATAAATGTGCTGGTTAACATATAAACAGACCGTCTACTCAAATATTAGTATACACTATATAAAAAATATCCTTGGATAAAGTATGAATCAACCTCTTCTCTCCCCAGCTATGGGTTAATTAGTAAAACTTGTATCACTAAAACATTATTAACTCCCCTCCTTAAAAAAAAAAACAACAACGATTTCGTACAAAATATTTATATTTCGGCTTTAAATAACCCATAGAGGGGTTGATATGCCGCTAAACAAAAACAACTAAACCAAACCTCTTAGCTTCATTTGGAACACGGATACAAATTTAAGCTACTCAGTGGGGACCGACGAGACTGCAGCAATACTGATATTTGATGCTAATTTACTAACAACTGAACCAAAGATAGGCGTCATGCAGAAGGTAATGCTCCTAGCAATGTATGGAAGCTCGGTGGGGATTCAATTTCTAATCTTGTAAACATGCGATTGCAGATTGTGGCTGTTACTGACGAATTAAATCATTGGCACCTCAAACACGCTACTTTCTGTTCTTTCGTCTACTTTGACATGTTTGTGATTAATATAAACGCTGTACATGTTACCGTTTTCCACAGCTTTCCCTTTGATGTTATTACGTCTTCTTCAGAAATCCAAAGTACAGAAAAAGATTCAATATTTTTGCTTTTTGATGGAATGTGGTAAAAGCTAAACTTCTTGCAGGTATCTTCATCTTTTCCCTTTCTTCGTTTTCATCCGATATCGTCTTTATCCAAGAAGGGTTACAAAAATGATCCAATAATGTCTTTACGAAACATGTAAAAGTTCTCAAATTCTCTGCAGCGTTTCGTCTATTAAGTTTTATGTCAGTTTTCACTGCAGTAACTTTTGGGAAAACAATGCCGGATATATTCTGACACCTCAAAATTCATTGGGGGGTTGTTTTTTGTGGTTGACAACTGAAAACTTACAGTCAAATTTATTAGTTTATTGAGCGACTCTATTGTCTTCAATCTTTGAGTTAAAAATTGATAAATACTCACATATGTAAACCGGAATATATATACAGAGCGTATCTAAAATACTATTGCAAAATTATTTTTTGGGGAGGTGGGGGGCTCCTGACACCAAAATAGGGTAAAATGTTCCTATAAACATATGTCCAAAATGCCATTGTTGTATGTAAACACAGCAACTCATATAAAAATTTAAAATGCCCCCCCCCCATGCCCGCTTGATTCTACATACTCATGTACATGTCGAATCTGGCGGACTTTTTCAAGTATTCCCATACAGTGTCGAATGGTTTTGTAGGCCCCCATGACACGTTGAAGCATCTCTGTATTATTGTCTCCTGCATAAACCAATTGTTTTAGATGGCGCCACCAATAAACATCCAAAGAATTGACGTCGGAGCAACATGGATGCCATGTAACCGGTACTCCGCCTACTTATCCATCATTTATGGTAGATGTCAACCAGTGCGACGGCGAGGACCGGCAGCCAGCCAGCTTCGGCTGCTACCACTTCTCGCGCAACCGGGACCACCGTGCGCGGCTGCCAGCTCGCCCGCAGGCCTGCCGTCTCGCCCGCGCGTCAGGCAGATCGATTTGACTTTGATTTTCTTCAACGTTCGCTCGAAATTCGGCAGACTATCATCGACGGGTTTTCGACAAACCAGCCGTAGCTGAAATGTGCTGGAGCTTCGTCATGCATGAACCACATGCGTCTTCGCATTAACAGGGGTACATCCTCTAGCAGGTCTGGAAGTGTGTTCGAAATAAAGTCCCTGTAGACAGTTCCTGTAAGATGTGCTCGTAGAACATATGAACCTACAGAGACAGTCACCATCAATTCCAGCCTACACATTAATCAATAAGCAAATGCTGACGTCTAGCCGGTATTGTAACATGAGGATTGCGATCCATACAGAAATGTTGGTTGTGTCAATTTGTCATTCCATCTTTTCCCAATATTGCCTAATCCGTAAACAAGACTGAAGAGACAAGCAACGGACCGGGAGTTTGTGCAATAAACCATCGGCAAAAGTTATCTCGGGGAGAATGATCAGAGGGCGAAAGACCCTGTACATATTGCAAATGCTACGGACACCGGAGCTGGTCTTGAATTACCCTCCATGCGATACTGAGATGTACGACATGCTAAGGCCACTTGGCAAGTGCTGATATTTGGATCGTCTCCGACATCTTGAAGAATGTGTTCTTCGTGGCCAGGTGTACGAGCAAACGATCGCTTTCTTTACACTATATGGGTGGTAGGAGTTGAAGTTGTGGTATTGTCCGGTAAAGGTTGGGTTACAGATGTCTTGAACCCATGCCCTGTTCGAGATATTAGTACATCTAGAAATGCTTGTTGGTTGTCGTTTTCTTTCTCCATTGTGAAATGTGTATCGATGATCGTAATGAGTTCACATGGTCTAATAGTAGCAGGACCGCTTCCTGATGTGGCCCGACTATGAAGGTGTCTTCTACGTATCTCAGCCATAGGGTTGACTTTTGTTTTTCTTTGTGTACAGAAAGTCAGCATTTCCATCAGGATATCTATTCGTATACGGACCGAAACAACACATTTCGGAATGGGATCAGACATATATCGACAGAATGAAAGCCTAGCAATGGACATTGCCATTATCATCAGAAATGGCAAGCATATACATGGAATAAATCGAAGAAATGGCACTGGAATTCACATTACTCGAGGCAACTCTTATAACATCGAGCAACACTCATTTGGTACCCCAGAGACATATGAACAAGAAATGCTCAGTATACGCAGTACCCTACAACGTAACAACTACCCTGGGTACATGGCAGCAGATCCGACAAACTGGGATAGAAAGAAACAACATTCAGAAAACATCTTCGGTTGGCGTACCCTATATGAAGGAATTATCGGAAAAAATAGAAACGATCTATGGCCCATATAACATCGGGGCGACCTTCAAAAGTGGTTCAACAGTTCGCAGGCATCTGTTCCGAGTAAGACTACGCACAGAGGAGGACATGACCAAAAACTGTGTGTACGCCATCCCGTGCAGTTGTGGTAAGAAATATAAAAAAGAAACAGGCCGCCCTTTAAGATAAGATTACAAGATCATCGTAACACGAGGGGAATAGAAAAATCAGTCGTAGCTGACCATATAAGAAGGGAAAAGAGAGATCTACCCCCGTGGGATGAGCTTGAAATAATAGAGAACATCATTGGAAAATATAAAAACTTAAGGAATCAGTTCATATGGTAGACCACAAAATCTCCTGACCGACCAAGCATAGAAATGAATACAATGTGGGAACCAGTAATAAGGAGGGCTAGAAAAGGCAATAACAACAAAAAATGCAATATGAGCTCTGATAAAAGTGTTTACTGAGACATTAAGCCCCCCCCCAAAGTAAAATTATCCACTGAGCCATGCGTCCTTGAGGTCAAATAGCCCAGAGGATGGAAGAAAGCATTGGTTGGTTGACCCAAAAGGTTGTAAGTACTTTACTGCAGTGGTGAGCAAAAACATGGAAATAACTGAGACACTCGGAAGAGGCATGGTACGTGGAACTAAAACAATCTACTCCGGTGGACGAAAGGGTTCAGTTCGAAATTCCAATCCCCTGAAGAAGGCCAGGCCAGAGTGTAAAACGGCCAAAACATCGTGAATATAGCAACAAATATTAGTACAACAGCCCGAATGTAAATAGTGTAAAAGTACACACACACACACATATATATATATATATATTTACAAGCAAACGATGTGATCTTTTGTTGTTTCCATATAATTAAATAAAGGAAAGCTCTAAAAATCTAAATGTACAGTGCTCTTCCACGAAAGTTGTTGCTTCAGGGATTTTGTTGTTGAATTTTTTTTTCTTATCAGACCCAAAGCACCATTCATAATTGGAACAGTTTTAATTTTTAACTGCCATATTTTTTTCCACTCTCAGGTCTTTGTTTTTGCTTAGATTTTTCAAAAACTTTACTGAGATATTTTTATCACTTGCTACTTTCATGTCAATCAGTGTGCAAACTTTTTTTTCTGTTATGTCTGGGAAATATGCTTGTATTGTTCGATCTGTGTTAGTAGTAAAATCCTATTATTATTATTATTATTATTATTATTATTATTATTATTATTATTTCCTTTGATTTCTGTTGCACCTTCATTTCCTTCCATGTCCCAAGTTCAGGAATGGTATTATGATATTTTCCACTTAACCCTTACCACAACTAGAATTATTGATCTCTTCATGTGCCGCATTTTCGAGATTTCTACTTCAAGATCCTTGTATTTTGATAGTTTTTGAAGATCTTCAAAGACACATTACAGAGTCTGAAGGAAGCGTCAAGTCAAATAATCAGCTTCTTTTGCTTCTGTGGCCTTTGATCATTCTGTCTGGCCGATTAGCTTTGATTATTCTGAATGTGTGTATTGTCAAGTCCCATAACATATTTACAGGTTCTGTCGCTGTAACCGGGTCTGGGTGGTGTTCTTACGAATTTGTTGCCGTTGCTTTCCCGTAAAAGTTTCCAGTGCATATAATTGCTTCGGCTGTCATGCCGAATTTCATATTCGATGGATGATAATACCGTACAACCTGATACAATATGACCAATTGCTTCTGGATATTTATCAAATAATATGCACTTCGGGTTAGCACAATTTTTAAATATGTTTGCCTGGTAATTTCAAGTTAGCAAGTATTTGTCCTTTACAGTAAGAATTACTACGTAATTGGTTGAAGGTTTGTCTGTATCATCTTGTTTGGCATATCTATTCCTTCCTTCCTCCCTTCATATCTATCTATCTATCTATCTATCTATCTATCTATCTATCTATCTATCTATCTATCTATCTATGTCTGTCCATTTTCCATCTATCTATCTATCTATCTGTTGGGGCGCACCCACCTTCTAACTAGAAATGGACTGTTTGTTTGGCATATCTATTCCTTCCTTCCTCCCTTCATATCTATCTATCTATCTATCTATCTATCTATCTATCTATCTATCTATCTATCTATGTCTGTCCATTTTCCATCTATCTATCTATCTATCTGTTGGGGCGCACCCACCTTCTAACTAGAAATGGACTGGTCCCTCTTATATGTCAGCTCTAGAGAGGACGAGAGAGCGTCAGCGACAGCAGTCCAGATAAGCTTTCCCGGTACATACCGTTGGACTATAGACTTTGGATATTGTTTCTTACTAACCAACCTTCGTTCTACTAATCACTCTATTGTTAATTGCTTTTATGAATATACCAGTATTTTCCTCTACAACTGTGTTTGTCTTGATTCATACACCGACACGCGAGAAACTCACAACATCTCAACACTATCTATCTATTCGTTCCTTCATTCCTATCTATCTATCTATCTATCTATCTATCTATCTATCTATCTATCTATCTATCTATCTATGTGTGTATGTGTTATAACGGTTAAAGTAATAAGGAGACCGAAGAACGGGGTTCAGTATTACAAAACACTTTATTCAGACGTTAGTACAAGCGTGCATATTGCTTTAGCTCATGCAATAGAGTGGAAAAATTGCTCAAGCTCTTTCGGTACTTCCCCATTTTGCACCGGGTAATGACCCCAGCCTCCATCCCGAAGAAGAGTTACTGATTGGGGGTGGGGATTCTACCCTTGGAACTTGAGCTAATATTATTGGTAGGTGAGCGAGTGAGCGAGTGAGTTGTTCCTTTCCTTTAAGTAACTCCCGAACGATTCTATTCGACTTGCTTGCGGATACGAAACAATCTATCTATCTATCTATCTATCTATCTATCTATCTATCTATCTATCTATCTATCATTGTCTGTCCATTTTCTTTCTATCTATCTATCTATCTATCTATCTATCTATCTATCTATCTATCTATCTATCTATCACACACCATGCACTGTGCTTTGTTCGACCCACTTCCCAAAATCTGACCAAATAACAAAACATAAGAATTTTTTGGAAGGTCTCCTTGGTTGGGCCGATAACTTTCCAGTACTTCTGCGTATTAATGTATCTTTTCTTCACTCGCTCCGTCTGTCGATCAAGCTAGGGAGGTATTCGTTATAGATATTCGATGTAATCGATCACGTCATTTATTACAAGCATTATTGAAGGCAACACTTTGAGCAGAATTCGACATTTTCTGTCCAAATAAATTGGGGTTTAGGCTAAAAGTTTGAAAGTTAAAAAGAAACTTTCTTTGGCTATAACTTTTGGAAAGAAAAAAAATCTCAGATCGATACGAGAGAAATATTATATCAAATCGACACAACGAATTGTGCCCCTTCACCCACCCAGAAATACGATCAAGACCTCAGTTCAATAAGAAATCAATAAAGGTGTCCTACCGTTCGAAGTGCCTATGATAAAATACAAGCATGCGAAAATATGCAACCTTTGTTATATTAGACATGCTTCAGATAAATATCAAGGGATTGTTGGAACGTTGGCTGTTGGATAAAAGTCTTCGTAATTAAGGGTTCGATATCAAAACCTACAAGATTATCTTCCACTAAAAAAGGACACATGCAGGAGATATTAGATAATCTTTTCTTCCTGCTCATAATTAATTTTAAATTCTTAGTCCGTCACAAATCCACAATAGTGGCTGATGGTATATATATTTTTCTTGTAGTAAGGTTTTCTATCTCCAGAATCTATCTGACATATATATAAGTCTACCATTCGTCCATACTTAGAACATAGCTGCTACATAAGTTCCAGTGATCCCGCTATTCATTTCGAGCTTCTTGATAAAACTCTACAATATTATTGGTCCTGATCTAGCGTACCGGCTTCGGTCACTTTCCCACTGCCATAATGTAGTCTACCCCTACCTTTTATTTTTATCAAACACTTTCATGGGTATTGTTCGGATGAGCTCGTCGCTATATTACCTAGACTTAATTAAAGCTCAGTTCTAGATTGACAGCAAGGCTTCATTAACTTACAATTGAATTAGTTAGATGTAACCGTAAGTTTTATGATAACAGTTTATCTTCTCGCACTTCTCATCTGTGAAAATCATTACTGGCTCCATGCTTTCCGGCCAACTTTGATCTTCAAAAATTTAAATGCAATGTCAATCGTTATCTATCTATCTATCTATCTATCTATCTATCTATCTATCTATCTATCTATCTATCTATCTTTATCCCTCTCTCTCTCCCTCTCTCTCTCTCTATCTATTTATCTGTCTTTATCTCTCTCTCTCTATATATATCTATCTATCTGTCTGTCTTTATCTCTCTCTCTCTCTCTCTCTCTCTATCTATCTATCTATCTATCTATCTATCTGTCTTTATCTCTCTCTCACTCTATCTATCTGTCTTTATCTCTCTCTCTCTATCTATCTATCTTTATCTCTCTCTCCATCTATATATCTGTCTTTATCTCTCTCTCTCCCTCCCCCTCTCTCTCTATCTATATATCTCTCGCTCTTTCCATCCCTCTCTCTCTCTCTCTCTATCTATCTATCTTCCTGATTACTCTTCTATTGCTCTCGCTTCTTCATAATTTTTTTTCTTTTTTCTAATTCCTTCACGCCCAGTAACCCCTCGGATATTAGTGGCTTTACTAACTTGCTTAAACTAAAGTTAACTGACCCCCCCCCCCCAAAAAAAAACAAAACAAAACAATAAAACAGTAGAGGGCAGTCAAGTTAATGGGTGACAATCGTCACATTTTCTAGAAAAGGGTGCTGGGGTTACCATAAAATAAACAGGAATGTTTAAGAAAAATAGAAGCTAAAAAAACGATTATACTTAAAATGTGAGCACATAATCTAGGGTACATAATGAGGAAAGAGGTTTAGAGAATTTGAGACTCACGGGACCTATTAAATGTAAGAGAGACAGAGGGTAGCAACGAATAACCTACCAAACATGATTATGAAAGTTCATGGCAGAACAAGAACTGGGAGGGATGGCGAAAAGACATGATCACCTACGTCCTGAAGGGAGACAGCAAACACAAGAAAAATTCTAAATAAATTAGAGGCGTATTGAGGAGAGAAGTCGTAACTTTAACGTCACTGATGGACACCAATTACTGATGAACGTCAACCTTATAATTCTTTCATGACAATGGGGTCAGCACCAAAATACATTCTAATTAAACATCCATCTTGACGTCAGGCGAATACGCGCAATTTATTTCTTCACTTAGCTTGTTTACTTTGGGGTTTAATTTGAATTTAATTAAATTTGATACACTTATAAAAAGAAACAATTCTGTTGTGGTCAGGATGGGAACCCGGAGAGCCGGTCGAACTCCAGTCGAATTCGTTATATTTATTTACTTGAAGATACGCTTGGGAAAAGTATGAATTCGTATCCCCATCGCTAGCTGTAGGTTAAATGATAGGACTTGTATCTAAAAAAAATCACTGCAATTCTAAAAAAAATTGTTAATGAAATATTCACTCGTGAAAAAAAAAAAAAAAAAAAAAAATTCGTACAATCAAATATATGATTCGGATATAAATAAACCAAAAAAAATTGATAAACCGTAAAAATGGAGGTATCAATATGTAGCGGTCACTGCAATTTGAGCGTTGGTTTAAATTAACACTGTTAATAGAATTTTCATTTTTCAGCTGGGGTGTAATTTTTTTATTAGCAAATAGGAACTGAATAAATATCTGTATTTTATAATCTGCTCACACACACACACACACACACACACACACACACACACACACACACACACACACACACACACATTAATCACCACAGAGATCCTTCCCTGCCCTCCATTAGAATGCCTGACGCTCATCTGCTCGAGAGCACCTCTCTGCGGCTGCTCGGTCTCACGTTGACGGCTGACCTGAGATGGAACAAATACATTGAGTCAATTGCTTCGTCCACCGCAAGGAAAGTTGGCTCTCTGTGCCGCGCCAGCAAATGTTTCTCCCCGGAACCGATCCTCCATATCTACAAATCAACAATTCGCCCTTCCATGGAGTATTGCTGCCATATATGGTCTGGATCCCCTTCTGTTTGCCTCGGGGTTCTTGATAAGCTCCAGAGGCGGATATGCAATATAATTGGCCCTGTTCTAGCATCTCGTCTACAGTCACTCTCTCACAGATGCGCCATCGCCTCCCTCTGTCTGTTTTACAAATACTTTCATGGCAATTGCTCCGAGGAGCTGCATTCGCTGGTTCCCAGATTTCATGAGTTCAAGCGCCCGACGAGGCTGGCATCCCGCTCTCACCCCTTCACTGTCGAAACTCCTAAATGTAGCCGTCTCTTCTACTCCAATAGCTTCATGTCGTCTCACACCTCTCACCTGTGGAACTCCCTTCCCTATTCCATTTTCCCTGAGAGCTATAATCTCCAGCTATTCAAATGTAATGTCAATCGACATCTCCAGTTGCCTTGACCTATCCACTACCTTTCTCCTCATCCTTTCTTCTATCACTCCTATCTGATCTTGCTCCAAATTTTCTGTAACCCCTTGCGTCGTAGTGGCTTCCCGCCTTGCTTGCGGTGAAACGCTTAATATATATATATATATATATATATATATATATATATATATGAGTTAAAGATTAAATGCAGATCAAATATAGATCTGAGCCCGGCAGGATGATAAGATAAATAACAAATCGGAAGCATTTATCAATCTAACATGTTTCACTTTTATTAAAGAAATTGAGACAACAGACGAAAAGACAGACATTTTGCTATTTTCAATTTTGTTTGGTTTGATTTTTGCATTCTTTATCCCTATCTGCAAATGGTTTTGAATCGTTCTCCGAGCCCGCAGAATCAAAACAAAAATAGCTTGTGGAAGAATTCCTCAACCACATCAAGAGAACCATTACCTGCCATTCATATCATTTGCAACTTAGTTCTAAACAACTGTCTGATTCGTTGCAAAACTAGTATTCAGTACAAAGCATATTAACGATATGCCCAAGAATATATTCAGATCACTGATAAATATCTATTATACAACCGTCATATGGTTGCGCCTCCAAAAATTCTAGATGACCAGAACCTGACAGCTGAGTTCTCTTCTGACCTTGTTCTTACAGCTCAAGGCTCAGAACTGGCTTTTAATGTTCAATATTTCCAAGCTAGCAACGAACTGATGTAGAATTTTGGCCTCTCATGAAGAACGGTTGTATTCTCAAGAAGGTTCATTGCTTCGAGCGTCTATTGAATCTCAAATCCACACCAAGAATTCAAGTTGAACGCATATACGCAATCCATCGCTGTAGGTGCTGGTAAAATAGTCGGGTCATTTTACCGCCTCAGAAAGTGTTTAAATTCACCTTCCTGACAAATCGACCATATAGGAAAATTCATATTACATAACAGTTCAGTAATCTTTTCTTTGTTCCTAACGAAGTGTTTCTGTTTCTTAATAATTTGCTTAGCTTTTGGAAGCCATCCCAGTGTTCTTTTCGATTTAGGTGTCATATTTTCCCTTCTAAGTCTAAACACATCTAACGTAATAAGCATTACATAAAAATTTCTGCGTAACTCATTTCACAGAGCACGTAGATACTATACTGATCCTAGGTAAAAGTGGTATCGAGCGACAATTCTTTTCAGGGTGTGCAGATTATATTTTTACAAGAGTCAGATCAGACAAAAAAAATGAATACTGAACAGTCCTCGCTTTTCAGTTTTGACAGAGTTCAAAATGGCGATCTGGGAGATGAATGGTTTCGCACAGTCGAAGAGTTTCTAAGCTTTCCATTCCGTACACAGAGATAAATCATTTCCATTCCATTCATAATCTGTGACAAATCATTCCCTTTTCATTCGCACTCTGGGACAATGCATTCCCATTCCATTCATACTCTGGGTGAAATCATTCCTATTCCATTCGTACTTTTGGACAAATCATTCCCTTTCCAATCGTATTCTCGTGCAAATCATTCCCATTCCATTCGTACTGCGGGACAAATCTTTTC